AAACACTTATTTAGCATTTGGCAGTGTCACACTGTAAAGTCAATCATACTTTTTAAGAACATTATTCTCAGTTTTTTCCCCAGCAGTTTGGGTTATCATTTGACAGCTAAACTTCCCAGTTACAGTCATTGATTTTTAGCTCTGTGGTTAATAAAAGCCACCCACACGTGAGTATATGGATCCAACTGGAATGGGCTGGTCGGTAGGAACTATAGCCCCTGTTTGGGGTAGGTAGATTTTGATTTGAGGGGTAGAAAGGTAGATTGTGATTTTTATTTCTTTTTCATGGCGTATGTGTTTGTGTGCCGGCAGGTGTCGTTGGATGTGTCGTTGTGAAAATGCCCTATAGTTCAGGACTGCACTGGCTTCGGTGACATTGACACTGACTTCCTGAGGAGCTAGGACATCCACTGCACCCACAGGGGACCACTTCCCTGGTGATTCGGACACAGCTTCTCAGGCCAAGCCCTGCCACCCACTAAAACTACAGACATTCCGCCTTGGCCCTTGGGCATCCCTGCTGTCACTTAGCCCAGCTTGAGGTTTTACCTGGGCTGCTTGCTGGGGCCCTGCCATGTCCCCGATGACAGAACCAACAGGAGCTATCAGAGGTGACAGCATTCTGGCCCACCTGCCTGGGCTCTCCCTGGAAGACTTCTCTGTCTTTGACTTCTGTGATTTTTCACACTTGAGTGATCAAGACAAACACAACAGAGAAAAGCAGAATCCATTGACAGCTGCCCCCAAAGATTGATGCGGCTGTCTATGAAATGACAGCCCAGGGCCAGAAAAGTGACTGAGGGGCCCAGGGTAGAAAACGTGAAAGTGCTCTTCCAGCTTCTGTTGTGTTTTTGCTTTGTTGCATGTTTGTTTGGAATGCAGATCAGAAATATCAGAAAAGACCTTGAAGACCCTAACTGATTGTGTAGGAGATGAAAGGACCAGACCCCTGTGCTAGTCAGCCTGTGGGAGACGGCGGCATCGCCCCTGGGTACAGCAGCCCCTGGTCCCCATGCTCTGGGGTGGTGGTGCAAGTAACCCTTTTGTTCTGGGTCATCTTTTCAAGGAAGTTGTCTGCTAATGACCTTGGAAGAGAGAGACCAGTTCTCTCTAGAGCAAACGGCAGGTTGCTTACAGCTCCTTATAAACGAGCTGGCTTCCCTGAACTCAGGGTCCCCTGCTCAAGCAGCACTGAGCTGAGCCCCTGGGCCTTGGGGTGCAGAGAAACAGACTTGAGTTGTATAGTCCCTGTCTCCCGCCGGCACCCACGGCACTATGCAGAACCAGCTGTTCACCTGCAAGCTCGGTGGACTTCGGCCCCTTCATGGTTCTTGCCAGTTACTCTTTCAGTGCAGAAAGACTGCCTATCATAGAAACTGGTGAGGAAAGCACCGAGATTCACTGCTGAGACAGGCATATTTTTTTTTGACAGGCAGAGTGGACAGTGAGAGAGAGAAAGAGACACAGAGAAAGGTCTTCCTTTTGCCGTTGGTTCACCCTTTAATGGCTACCTCAGCCAGCCCGCTGTGGCCTGCACATCGCTCTGATCCAAAGCCAGGAGCCAGGTGCTGCTTCTCCTGGTCTCCCATGCGGGTGCAGGGCCCAAGGACCTGGGCCATCCTCCACTGCACTCCCAGGCCATAGCAGAGAGCTGGACTGGAAGAGGAGCAACCGGGACAGAATGCAGTGCCCTGACCGGGACTAGAACCCGGGGTGCTGGCGCCGCAGGCGGAGGATTAGCCTATTTAGCCGTGGCGCCTGCTGAGACAGGCATATTAATATATGGAGTTGGCAATTTGCATTTTAGTTTGATCACACCATGTGAGTTACAGGAATTGTCCAAATGTCTATACCTTCTTAAGTCATTATTTATAACACTCACCCCAGTAAAAAGAATTTTAGCCTTTTGCCTGTGTTGGAACAATTTGTGACTTGCTAGCTGCACATCTATACCAATAACTTTCTGCAAGCTAAGAAAAAATATAAATACTTCCTATCTATCTGTGTTTGAAATACCTCCCCGAGAGTCTAGCCAGCTCAGCTATTTTGAAAGAATTGCCTTGTGTTATGAATGAGATTTTCCCCATGCCTGTGAAAAGAAGTTGTAGCTGGATCAATGTATTCATAAGGCCAGGCATGTCCTCCAGCCTTTATTTTTTTTTCAGGAATTGTTTTAAATATTTTTCTCAATATGCTTGCACTGGCTTTTTAAGGGTTGGTAGGATGTCAAAAGGTTGCAGTTTCAGAAACAAAATTTTAAGAAAATAGTCAGCCGTCATGGTTTTGGCTGCTGCAGGGAAGGGCCCCAGGCTGGTGGACACAACAACACAGGTCCACCTGAACCTGGGCTCCAGCCCACGCTGGCCACCCTATCTGTTCTAGCAGGACTGTCTGAGGACTGGGGCTCAGAGGGCTGGATGGTATGCCACCGCCCCAGATGGGACAGATTCCACTTAACTAACAGTTGACCCATGATTGGTAAGAGACATGTAGTAAGGAACAGCCCAGCTTCCTGACATCTGACTTGGGGACACATCATTGTAAAATGGCACTCTTCAGGTTTTAGGGTATTTTTTAGATTTATTTATTAATTTGAAAGCTAGAGTTACAAAGGGAGGATGGGAGGGAAGAAGGGAGGGAGGGAGGGAGGCAGAGAGAGAGAGAGAGGGAGAGAGGAAGGAAGGGGGAGAGAGACAGAGAGAGGAGCTGTATTCCATCTGCTCATTCACCCCCAAATGACTACAGTGGCAGGACTGAGCCATGCCAAAGGCAGGAGCATGGAACTCCATCTGGGTCTCCCACATGGTGCAGGGTCCCAAGCACTTGGGCGCTCCTCCACTGCTTTCCCAGGTGCCTTAGCAGGGAGCTGGATCAGAAGCGGAGCAGCCAGGACCGTGTTCTTATGGGATGCCAGCATTGCACGCAGTGGCTGAAGCTGCTGCACCACTGTGCCAGGCCCACACTCCAGATTTTGCAGAGGAAATGTGTCCGGCCTGAGATGTGGGGTTATTGCCAGATACAGTAAGCAAGTTCGCCTGCAGCTGTAGCTCCTGAGGGGATAAATAGACTGCCCTTTGCCGTTGATGTCCAGTTCTCAAAGTGGTGTCTGAGGGCGATAGTATCAGCATCTCCCAGCAACTCATTAGAATGGCAAATCATTGAGCCCACCCCAGAGTGTATAAAATCTGGGGATTGGGCCCAGAGTGAGCAGGCCCACCTACCCATCCCCGAGTGATGCTGATGCAAGGATGCTGCTCGCGGTTCGGCACATCAGAGCAGAGTGAGGTTAGTCAGGTCACAAGGAGGGAATGAACAAGTTACAGGGCACTAATGTATATAGGGACTGCCATAGCATTTACTAAATCAATCCTTTAGTTTTCCTTTAAGAAAATATATCTGACACCTAATCCTCTGCCAGGCACTGTTTGGATACAAGTGTGGATAAAGCATTCCACAGATGTTGCAAGGTGCGCAAACCATGGCTTGCAGTCAAGTGTCTGACTTGCCAGGTGGTCTTGTAAAGTTTTCTTAGGAAATGGCCACACTTGTTCAGTAGTGTGTGTGGCTGTATTCAGTCAAGTTTAGAAACACAACAAAGACAAATAAGCTTACAAAACTGAAAAGATTTAATATTTAATATCTAGTGTTCTACATAGGTTTGTGGACATGAGGTCTAGTTTTTAAAGGGGAAATACTGGGGGCAGTCATTAGACCCAGCAGCTAAACCACTGATTGGGATACCCACCTCCCCTATCAGAATGCCTGGGTTCAAGTCCTGACTCTGCTCCTCAAACCAGCTTCCTGCTGATGCACACTCTGGGAGCCAGCAGTGATGGGTCCCCAGTACTCATGTGGGAGACCTGGATTGAGTTTGTGGCCACTGGCTTTGCCTGACCACTGTGGGAATTTGAGGAGTCAACCAGAGAACAGAAACCCTCTGTCTCTCTGCCTTTCAAATAAATAAATGCATATTGCTTTTAATGAAGTGAGGGGAAAATACTCCCAACACTCCAGATGGCCATTCCCTCGTGGGAGCTGGGGGGAAGTGTAGCGCGCAGGGTTCTTCTGCCCCCAGTGATACATTTGCATAGACTGTTGTGCAGCGGCGGGACATTGAGGTATTCTATCACAGAAGCTCAGAGACGGCTTGACAGGAGTCAGGGCAGAGACTGATCAAGCATCTGCCGAGTGAGCGATGAGAAGGCAGGGGCATGAGGACAAACATGGAAATTATAAAAAAGGAGAAACGAGGAAACATGGAGGGAGAATTTTGGATAAGAAGGGACGGTGTTAGTCACAAGAATGAGGCTTATGTGAAAAAGCTAAGATGAAGGCATGTGGCTGGGGAAAGGTGCTAAGGGGGAGAAAGGTACTGGATTTATCTCTATAGCAGGGGTGTGGGCTTGGGCAGCTGAGTGTCGCTGGGGATGCTGAGGGAGGCAGAGAGGGAAGGCTCAGGTTAGGCTGGGAGAGTGTCCTCTGCTGCTCTGGCCACCCCCTGTCCATCAGTACCCAGTGCAGGCCGACAGCAAGCTTCTCCAGATCCCTTCCTCTGTGCTACATTGTTGCTGCTCAAGGACCAGCCCTTTCACCAGAGAGCCCTGGATTCCCACGAGGACGCATGGGCTACTTCCGGGCTTCCCTCTCACTGCTCAGTTGTGGGCCAATCATGTCCTGACTCAGGGTCTCGCTTTTCTCAAGTGTGAGATGCTGTGTGAGGCATGCTCCCTACTGCATCCACTTTCCGCCCTCCTTTATTCCCACACACTGCCCACGCGAGTGCTCCCCCAGCTCCCTGCCCGGAAGAGATGGACATGGGAGCCCCCGGAGAGGGAGCCGTGTGGCACAGGTCCAGGGCGTCCCCGCCGTCAAAGACGCAGCGCTGACTGATCACCAGCCCACACCTGATGCCAGATGCCATCAGCGTTTCTGGCCCATGGGACTGTTTGGACAGGGAAATGTGTGCAGCTGGGATCCACTTGTGTCTCTCATTCTTCCAGGAATTTTTCTTTAAATGTGGAGCACACCCGACCTCTGACAAGGAAACATCAGTAGCTTTGAACCTGATCACAACCAACAGTCGCAACATCTCTTGCATAACCTGCACGGACATAAGGTAAGGCCCCGAAATTGACGCCACTGCCCAAAGCTGTCCTCCTGCGTCACCCTTCCCCTGGGACCTCACTTTCCTGGGCAGCTCCCGTTCTATTTTAGTGCTGTCTGCCCACCATTTTCATGGGACAAAACTATTCACGATGCCAATGCTTAGTTTCCTCTGTAGTCAAAGAGAGTCCTAAGATACGTGAGATGACATAGCTAAACAATAGTGTAATCTTAGCCCGTGTTAGAATGGACCCGTGTATCTGAGTGTGTAGAATGTAAACTCATCCATAGCAAATGAAGATGGGGCACTAACACTGGGGATACAATAATGATTTGTATATACCCTTTATCCCTGGGCTGTCTATCCCATACGTGTTGTCTTAATGTTTTCCTCACGTGTTACTTCTGCCACACATGTGTCCGTATTTGTATTGGACTTCATGTACCCAAAGGAAAGCACACAGTCAGTTGGGGACCCGGTTGCTTTTAATCTCAGTAAACGGCAAAGACAGAAAACGCGGAGATGGTGTGTTAGAAAAAAAGAGGAAGTGGCCGGGTTTGAATTATGGTTTAGTGGGCAGGAGCCAGGCAAAAGGTGAGCATGCGTACTGCTGAGCAGGCAGTGAGGGAAGTCTTCCCTGGATACCTCCAGACTGACAGAGTGAGCAAAATTAGTGTTAGCGCGTGTTCTCCGAGGCTGGCTAAGAGGAGCAGCCTGCAAGAGCAGGGGTGTGGCCCTGACACCAGGGAGAAATCTTCAGGGGAAAGATAAATTGGATTCCTGGGTAAAGTCAAAGAACCTTGTTTCGTAATTTTAAGCAGGGATAGCTCTGCGTGCAGCCTGGGCATTGCAAGTGCTGTGTCTCCTTGGCCGTCGGGACAGAGTGCACGGCCTTGTGAAGCTACTCTGAACTCTAGATTACCTGACCCCTGCTAATTAATACTTGGAATGTGCGATTTCCTTTTTTAGACCCACTCAGGTTAAGATGTTCACTAACACACACCTAAAAACCTCAACGACGTCTGCTGAACAAACTTGCGTCCAAGAAGCAAGGAAGACGAGGGCGTGGCTTTCTTTTTGCTGCGCATTCAGTCACCTCCATAGCAGGAAGCCCCGCACGTGGCCCACACCTGCAGTGGTTCAGCCCCGCCCACCCCAGCGAGGGGAGTGGCTGCATGTGACTGACGCTGTCCGCACGCGAGGGCGGGGCTGCGGCAAAGCTTCTAGTCTTTTAGGAAGGGACTTGGAAAATAAACATCGACTACCCTTAGCAATCGGTCATTAAAGTCACTTTTCACTTACTCGGAGGAAAAGCTGAAAACATTCTTCTGAAAGTCGGAATGCAGCCCACCAGGGAGATTTAAAAACCTTCCACTGAAGTTGATTAGAGTGGGGCCAGCACCATGACATAGCGGGTAAAGCCGCCACCTGCAGTGCCAGCATCCCATATGGGCACTGGTTCGAGTCCCGGCTGCTCCACTTCCAATCTGGCTCTCTGCTGTGGCCTGGGAAAGCAGTGGGAGTTGGCCCAAGTCCATGTGCCCCTGCACCCAATGGAAGACCCAGAAGAAGCTCCTGGCTCCTGGCTCCTGGCTTTGGATCAGCACAGCTCTGCCATCATAGCCATCTGGGGAGTGAACCAGCAGATGGAAGACCTCTCTCTAAGAGATCTCTCTCTCTGCCTCTCTGTAACTCTGCATTTCACATAAATAATTTTTTTTAAAAAAATTGATAAAAGTGACATTAAAACATGCAGTGGTGATCATACCTTCTTACTGTGAGCACGGTGCCCCCCCCCCACTTCCTGCTGCTTAAACTGTCACTTTTATATTAATAGCTGGCAACATCTTTTGAAGAAAATGAACTGCTTCCCACAATCATGGGGAGAAAATTGCTGAAAAAAATAACATTGTCACAATAAAATTATTCATATCATTACTTCTACAGGGCTATAAATAGAAGTCACTGGAGTCAGTGAAATCCAGGTGTGTGTGTATAGCTGCCCACCTGATTGAATGGGGCACCTTCCTCTCTTCTCGTGTAGGGAGGCGGAGGGCTGCCCTCCTGCAGGACAGACAGGCTGTTTACTCTGCCTCCGAGAAACCATGTACAGGCTGACAGGAAAACCTGCAGCAGACCACCCCAATAGTGGTAGCTGGTAGTTTAGTCATAATTGGGAGGTCCCCCAATAATGCTTTGTTTTTAAGGTTAGAAGTAATTCACTCACAATAAACTGCAAAAAAAGAATTTTTTTTATTCTAGTGTCTCATAATACAATAATTTGTGAGATTTATTTTATTTATCTGAAAGGCAGAGTTACAGAGACAGAGAGGGAGAGAGAGATCTTCCCTCCGCTGGTTCACTCCCCAAATGGCCTCAAAGGCCAGAGCTGGGCCAAGCCAAAGTCAGGAGCCAAGAACTTCTTCTGGTCTCCTATGTGGGTGCAGGGGCCCAAGTACTTGGGCTGTAGTCTGCCGCCTTCCCAAGCACATACTCCACCTAGCCTTTTCTGTGTTGTTGACCGTGGAGATTTCTTCTGGTCTTAAAACTGATGAGTAAGATAGAAAGCCATATTCTTTAACAGGCATCATTGACAGCTTTGAGTCCGGAAAGCTCAGGACCAGAAATGGGATCAGGTGAATGGTAGTGGCCATTTTCAAGATTCTTGATGTGCACTGCCAAATCTCTGTCCAGAAATACTACTCCGAGTTAGACCGTGCCCAGCCACGCACTGACGAGGTCCACGTTTTCAGTCTTTGCCCATTTGATAAAGGAAATTACTTTTATCCCTACTATTTGCTTTTTGAATAGTCATTGGTGAGTTTGAGCGTTTCCCGTTTGCTAATGTGCAGTTTTGATTGTGAGGTAACAGTGATAACCTTTCTCAGCACTGAAGCTTTGGAGAGAACTCACAAAACAGAACCAGTCTCAGCCGTCTTCCTCAGTCCTATTTGTAATGTCCTTATGTCCTTCATTAACACGGGCCTACTTCCTTTTGAATTTATGTTGGTCTTTATTTTAAAATATTATATCTTCCTAATGGCAAGTCAAAATTGATTACAGATTTGAAAAAATTGTTTTAAAATATATCTACATCTATGATTGTTTTATTTTTATATGTGCTTTCGTCATATATCATTGGTTAAGCTAGACATAATTAATTATATAGCATTAAACCTAAGGATAGTATTTATTTATAAAGACCTTTTCGTGTCACCCTTATACTAATGGAAGGTAAGAATTTTATTTATTGCTTTGCTTTACAAATATATTTTTAACATGAAATCTCATGAGATCATTACTACTCCTTTATTGTAATAATTCAAGGAGCCCCAATGCCACTAAGCCACCTTTTCTGACTTTAAGAGAATAACATGATCTCTTTGGCCTTCGGTTTCTGTATAAATCCAGGAATTTAAGTGGGTGATCAGAAAGGTTATGGCTGGTTCTGAGGGACTGAAAAATGGAAGGCTGCAGCTTGTTCTCAGCATATAAACCAGTCATGCCCCTTGGGAAGACACTCGCTTGCTCTACTGTCTCCTGACAGAGGCAGAAATAAAAGATGAGGTTTTTGAAGATGATACCCGCCAGACCACACATATGTGGTTGCTGTGTGTAGAGAAGTAAATAAAATAGATGTGCTCTGTGTTGCCAACTTTTAAACCTAAAATTTAATTCAAGTACATGATTTGTATTCTGTGAGTTTACGTTTGAGATAAAATATTTTTCTCTCCTGTAAAAAAATAAAAGTAGTGAACACTTTGAGAACCAGAACATCCCAAGATTTAATGTGAACTCATAAGCTCCCTTCTGGCACCACGCCTTCGAGTCTCTGCTACTTATCCACAGCGGCAACTTGATCTTCATCCAGTCAGACTTAGGAATACGGAAACGTAATGGGTTGAACCAAAACTAGCGCTGAGCCACTTGAAGGCAGAGCAGCTGTATTGTGTAGTTATTCCCAACACAAGTTACATCCAAAGGTTTCAAGTGTTCTTGGTATCATCCCACTGCATTTACAGCAGGAGCGGGACAAGCCGAGGGGACACATGTGTGTCCTTCCCCTAATGAACACGCGTGTCTCAGAGCCTACCCTCTATCAGAGTCTCCTATGGGAAAACAATGTTTCAGTTCTTGAATCTCATTTTATAGTATCACTCTTGAATGATCTGATTTTAAATAAAAACCTTAAAAGCCTACAAAATAGGAAAGTCATTATTGTGACGTCACCAGGCCAGAGGGAAGGCCTGCCCCCTCCCCTCCCCCACTGTTTTGCTCCCTCTGTGGCTGCCTGGAGCCACGTCTGCACAAACTTTCACCTCCAAAAACACATTTGAAGGCCCACTTCGCGGCAGAGTGTTGAATCCACACAGTGGCGCCACCTGGTCATTTCCCTCAACTCTAACCAACAAGACTTCCATCACTGATGTCACTGTTGTGAGACATAAATGCTTTTACAGTTCTCTGGCCTTCAAATAACATTCTCTCAGCTTGTTGAAGCAACACTGCCAGGGACTGCAGACTTAAAAGATTTACCTGGGCCTGGAGATTAGCAGAGATTTATCTCAACATCCATGTGTGCTTGTTCCTGGTGTCCTCCTGGCTGGTCTGCGTTCATTCATTAATTCATGTAACAGAGAGAGAGAGAGAACCCGGGCCTCTCTGTGATGTTCCCTTTGGATGTCTTTGTTATGCCTGAAGCTTCGTTTTTTTTTTCAATTCAAGCTTTAAGTTTGGTTATGCAGTGGTTGCCATTTCTTTATGGCTCGGAATCAAGTTCTTTATGCATCTAATTTGTGAGATATTGCAGAGGAATCCTAACCAAGTTAACCCTTTCATAACATCGTGGCCTCAGATGGGACCTTGGTGGTTTTATCCAGGCTCTGAGCAGAATTGAACCAGAATTTATTTTTATTTATTTTTATTTTTTATTTATTTATTTTTTTTTTTTTTTGGACAGGCAGAGTGGACAGTGAGAGAGAGAGACAGAGACAAAGGTCTTCCTTTGACGT